TTGTACTATAATAAAACTTGTATTGAGAAATCCTTGTTTTGTCGAGCGCCCACCAGAATAGCGCTGTGGTAGCATAATCGCTTTTAGCGATGGCTATATACACCTTTGTTAAAAACTTATAAAAAAATCATTTTTAATTTTTTTACAATATTTATCATGTAAAAAATGGTAAAAGCAGTAAATTTTGTTAAGATTTGTTTTAAATGCAAGTACATATTAGATTCGGTTTCGGGCATTTCTTTTTTTCCTATATTATTTTGGTAATCAAAGTCGCATCCAACTTGGGTAATCGAGGTTTCACTGTAATTGTTTCACGATAGATACAACAAGGATCTTGTTTGATAAAGCAGAAAACTTGATTCAAATTCTTTTATTTATAATGAAAAATACAAAAAATAAGATAAATATAATAATTGTATTAGGATATTACAATAACCATCTACACTCTACAAAAATTCTACAACATACTGGAGTACCAACTACGAATATATGTCGACATAAAAATTCATTCTTCCACCCCACTGTTTTTGGCACCATCTTCGGTGTTCCTCGGGTTGTAGTAGACACAAGGGGGAAATTTGCATCGGTCTCTTCTAGTAGCTTCATCCATCATTTGGATGTGAGCGAAAGTATCCAACAGAATCATAAAATTTGCAGTTCTGTTGGAAACCTCGTCATCGAAGTACTTCTCGAGGTTTAACTTTTTGAGAGCGGCAGTGACGCACTTACGTCTCAGGTCGTCATGAGTTTTGCAAAGTTCAAAGATTTCAGTATTTTCAACGGCATACGTGAGGAGCTCATCTGGTGTCAATTGGCTAGAAAGAGAATACAAAAAAATCAAATTTGTTTAATTTTTTTTAACTCACCTCAAAACAGCCGCAGGACAAATACATTCCCGGTCCAACTTGTCGCCAAGATCTTGGAAATGTTTAGCCCAGATGGCATCCATTCTTCTCTCAGAGGTTTTGCGAAGAGCACTAAATTAGCAAATGCAAAAACTGTGAATGTGATTCCTTTTATTGTTTGTCAATAATATGATAAGGAAGTGTTAAATAACTTGATTCTTTGTAATCACGTCAGGTGGAATAGTATTCGAAGAATACAATCAAAAATTCTTTCGACACTAGTATTTTTTTGAAACAGCCAATACGTTCCATCTACATTTATAAAAATATAAAAATTAAAAACTTTAAAATTGAACCATTTGCACTCTTGGATGATCAAGAGCTTAGAGAAGTGTAAAACGCTGTAAAAACGCAAGAAATATACAGATTGCGCCAGAACTCGCGCTCCAGAGAAAATTTTCAAGTAAGGTAAGATACCAGGAACATGAAAAAAATGTTTAAAAAATTCTATCTGTCAAAAAATTTTGACATTTATTTTTTGACATTTGACATTTTTTATATCTATTCAATGATACTGATGATCTTGTATATGTTTTTTTACAATTATTTAGTAAAGGGACAAACATTTTGCCAGTAAAAGCCACAAATAACATTGAACAGAGTTACAATTTAGGATACAGCTTCCTTGTTTCCTCTTTTAATAGCCTATAGCAAAAAAACTTGGAAATTTTTTTTCCAACAGAAATAAATAGAGTCAAAGTGTAAACTCTAAACCCTCATAACTTCGAAGTTTTTATAGATAAAATTTTTTCCATGTTCCTGGTATCTTACCTTATATGGCATTTTTCTCTGGGGCGCGAGTTCTGGCGCACCTTTATATATATTTAATTTTGTGAAAGTTTATATAAATATAATCATTGGGACTGTTGGCGGCGTGGTGGTATAGCGATATAAGGTCCCGCTTTCCGGCAGATAGGTCCTCGCTTAAGTCAGCAATTTTTCACTRATTCAAATTCAAATTAGCAAGAAAAGTTGGCGGGCGCATAAGAGCGCGAACTTTAAAACATGTGCACATGTTCTAATAAGTACAATAAGAGAGAGAGCGCATGAGAGCWAATAAGAACGCAGAGGATAATAACTATTATTAACTAATAAGAAAGAGAAAGAGCATATGAACAAATAAGTGAACAAAGCATAAGTAATGGAAAGCGCATAAAAAAGCATGAAGCTCTTTCCATTTCGGTGTCACAATAGGCTTTTTTCCGACTGTACTTTTGTACTATAATAAAACTTGTATTGAGAAATCCTTGTTTTGTCGAGCGCCCACCAGAATAGCGCTGTGGTAGCATAATCGCTTTTAGCGATGGCTGCAAACACGATTGTTAAAAACATAAAAAAAATCATTTTTTATTTTTTTACAGTATCCATCATGTAAAAAATGGTAAAAGCAGTAAATTTTGTTAAGGTTTGTTTTAAATGCAAGTACATATTAGATTCGGTTCCGGGCTCTATTATTTTGGTATTCAAAGTCGCATCCAACTCGGGTAATCGAGGTTTCACTGTAATTGTTTCACAATAGGTACAACAAGGATCTTGTTTGATAAAGCAAAAAACTTAATTCAAATTCTTTTATTTATAATGAAAAATACAAAAAATAAGATAAATATAATAATAGTATTAGGATATTACAATAACCATCTACGTTCTACAAAAWTTCTACAACATATTGAAGTACCAACTACGAATATATTTTGACATAAAAATTCATTCTTCCACCCCATTGTTTTTGGCACCTTCTTCGATGTTCCTCGGTTGGTAGTAGACACAAGGGGGAAATTTGCATTGGTCTCTTTCTCTTCTATTAGCTTCATCCATCATTTGGATGTGAGTGAAAGTATCCAACACAAYCATAAAATCTGCAGTTCTGTTGGAAACCTCATCATCGAAGTACTTCTCGAGGTTGTACTTTTTGAGAGCAGCAGTGATGCACTTACGTCTCAGGTCGTCATGAGTTTTGCAAAGTTCAAAGATTTCGGTATCACCAACGGCATACATGAGGAGCTGATTTGGTTTCAATTGGCTGGAAAGAGAATACAAAAAAATCAATTTTGTTCAATTTTTTTTTAACTCACTTCAAAAGAGCCGCCGGACAAATAAATTCCCGGTCAAACTCGCCGCCAAGATCACGGAAATGTTTAGCCCAGATGGCATCCATTCTTCTCTCAGGGGTTTCGCGAAGAGCACTAAATTAGCAAATAGAAAAACTGTGAATGTGATTCCTTTTATTAACTGTCAATAATGTGATAAGAAAGTGTTAAATAAGCTGTCTTTGTAATCACGTCAGGTGGAATAGTATTCGAAGAATACAATCAAAAATTCTTTCGACACTAGTATTTTTTTGAAAGAGCCAATACGTCTCATCTACATTTATAAAAATATAAAAAACAGATGATATATTTACAACAATGACTAATGTAAGCGAAATCTGAGTTTTGTTTTCTTTAAGACTGTGTTAACACGAGTGTTTCAATGTCTATCAATGACGTAACTGACGATAAGGGGGAGGGGGTGAATATTAGATACTCTTGATACTTGAAAAAGATATGCAGATATGCACTCTTTGTTACCATGACAATTTCCAAAATATTTTTTTTTAAATAAATAAAATAATTTGGGTTAATTATCATATAAACTGGACTCCCTTTCGGTGGAGGGGAGGAATGGGGCGATTCCGCCCCACTATCGAAACTTGCGCCGCTGATTTCCATAACTTATTTTAAGGTCACCTTGAAAATTTATAGAATTTTTTCCAAATAGCTCTGAATTTAGTATGTTATTAATTCCAAGTAGTAGCTATCTTTTTTTATTATCACTGAGGGGAGAGGATTCTTCAGATGGAACAAAGAAGTGGTGTATTAAAAGAGCAAATATATATAAATATTTTTTATTAATGTATATATTGCGTTTACATTTTGGAATACATATATTTATGTTTAAAATTTAAAAATTGTAAATATGATCATATATAAAATAGGTTTAAAATTTGAAGTTGTAAGACGAACTCTTCATTCCCCATTTTTATCAGAACGGTTATTGTCCCGACGTTGGACAATGGGTAGGTGCTCACATTGAGCCTCCTCCACCACTTCTTCTATCTTCGGCCCTTCATTGGTGTCTTCAACTTGGATAAATGTGTCCAACAACAGCACGTAATTGACGGTTCTGTTGTGAACGTCTTCGTCATCAAACTTCTCCTGATGGTATCTTTTGACGGCAGCAGTGATGCAAGCTTGTCTTAGTGTATCGTCTTTTATGCAAACTTGGTAGACCTGCGGATCTTCAATGGCAAGGTTGAGGACCTCACAAGGACCAAACTCTCTGAAAAAAGAAATAAAAAATCACCAAAAGAAAAAAAAATACTTTTGACTTACTCTAAAACCACCAAGAGACGAATACGAATGTCTTCTGTCTCGTCTTTGACGACATCTTCTTCAAAATTTTTAGAGGATACACAACCCATTTTTCTACTCGCAGGTGCACGACTAATAAGCAAATTACAAAGCTGATACTCCTTTTATAAACTTCGATAGTATGTGGCCCGATAAAGAGGTAATGAAGAATGTGTTCGAGGAAGATTTGTAATAAGTAAATAGTTTATAATCAATAATACGTAATACCCCACCTAAAAAAAGTATTTAGCCAATTTGGCCATAAATATGTTTTTATTTTAATAAAATATTTACACAAAAATATCAAGGTGTGTTTTTATAATTAATTTTGTAGTAATAACTTAATATGAATTTTTCGGCTACAACAAAAAAATAGAGCTTGTCACAAATCAAAAAATATGATTTTCTATGAGAAATAAAAAGAAAGCTATTTTAGTCAAAATAATCATCATTTTATTTCGCGGAATGGAAACTTTTTGAACAGCCATGGTAGAATATTACTTGATTTTATACCAAACTCCATTCGCAGTAATTTTTTACTATGAAATTAAAATTATGTTAATTTGTTTATTATTGTAACAATTGTTAGTATCTTAAGTGTAAAAACAATTTATTTAAATAAAGTATTTTCCGTTGAAAAAACTTTCGGTCAAGTTGATAGTTATCTGCTGTCACTTTCGTTAGTAGTCGTTCTGTCATTTGCCTAACCTAAGAATCATATCAAAATTAAACATAAACAATGCGATGATTTTCGTTGTATTTTAACATTAAAAGTGTAGAATCATGATTACGCTATCCCAACGCTTGAAAAAGCAGCAAGAAGACCGTTCTTCTAACACTAACCGAATTTCAATCAGGGACAAATTGCTAATTAAGGAATCACAAGAAATGGCCCAACTGTTGCCAAGTAATTGTTCAGTTTTTTACGAAAATGAGAACGATTTGAGCAAATTCATTTTAACTGTGAGACCTACAGAAGGCCTTTGGGAAGGTGGTACTTTTAGATTTGCTATAAATGTTACAGAAGAGTATAATATGGTTGTAAGTATTGTAATCAAGTTGCTATTTCTTGATTGAGTCTCTTTTTTAGCCTCCAACTGTTAAATGCCTTACACGTTTGTGGCATCCTAACATAACTGAAGTTGGTGAAGTGTGTTTATCACTTTTGAGACAGCATAGTATGGATGGGTTAGGTTGGTCACCAATTAGGAGATTAAATGATGTTGTGTGGGGCCTACATGCTTTATTTACGGTATTTTTTTTGGCAGTTGCGACATGCTAATGATACTGTGTTTCAGGATTTATTAAATTTTGATGATCCTTTAAATATAGAAGCTTCAGATATGTATAGAAATTCAAAGGAAGAATTTAGAATGAAAGTGAATGAATATGTTATGCTGTATGCTAAAGATTAATTATATGTAGACTTGTCGATATTACTTGTTTGTTCGCTTTGTTTGGGATACACGTATTTTTACAAGAGTGAATACTCCAACTCTTTATTTTGTAAAAACTTAAAGTTTGTCCATAATTGACTGAATTTTTCTGATACACACGTGGGTTATTTTGGGAGCGTGCCATAAAATTCTTTCACTTTGGATAAAATTTACAATATATTTATATGAACAATGAAACTCTTTCATTCACCCACAGAAAACACACATTTCTCATAAATATTTATTTGAAAGGATAAAAAAGAAAAGTGGATTACTTAACTAAGTGTCAAAAATACATTCAACATAATATTCACGCAAAAAGGAAGCTCTAAAACGTTTTAAGCAAGTGCACATTATGTTTTAAGTATTTTTCTGTTACAAAACAAGTACAAGAATACATTAAATACACATCAAGCAACTTATGACTTGAGATTATGTAGTAATTCGTTGAGCATAACAGAACCAAACACCATATTGTCACAATTGACTGTAACAACTTCTTGTTTGGTTACTGTGACCAAAACGAAGTTCGACGATTTCAAAGTCTGACCCGCGAACCTGAAACATCAAACTCAGTAATCGGTCAAGAAACAACAGCAGTTCAAACCTCAAATTATCAATTGTTGGGTCACATACGCCCAAATTACTACATTCTGTGACTTTTTCAATGATGTTAGAGACGCACTTTATTTTTCCGATATGTTCGTTCATGCCCCCCAATTTCGACTGCTTTTCTTGGAATGTGGTATTGTCCATCTTGACGGGGCGCACCAGCTCACCTATACTTGGTTTTATGCAAACGCTGAAGTTTCCCAATGAACAAACAATTTCAAAATTGGCTGGTTGAGTCGTGTCATTAAAGTCGATCCCTAGCGACGCCGGCAGGCAACCATTCGGGGATAATCTCGAGATGTTTGCAAAGTCATACATCGACATATCCAATCCTAGGTTCTAGAAAGTCGGTTAAGTCACCTCAGACAAGAAAAAAATACCAACCTTTTTCCCCAATCTAATATCAGTGATATCCTCACTGCTGTTATTGGTAAACATTATATTAATATTTGCCATACTTGGCGATAAAATATGAGGCGTCCGGGTAAACCTGTAAGTCGCAGATAAACCCCTTCCATTGATTTTATTTATAAGTTCAATTGGTTTAGTGTTTGTAAAAACAGGAGGTGTCATTTCAATCTGCGACGATGACGTTGAATTTACAACAGTAGGTGTTAAAAATCCGCCAAGCGACGGTGTCATCACTGGTACAGAGTTATCAACGTCACCTAAATCTAGCAATAAGTCTAAATTCGATTTTGGTTTTGGTGCTTCCGGTTTTGGTTCTTGACTCTTCGTTTCTTCGCTTTCTTCACTACTTGACTCTGCACTCGTACTTGTTGATTTACTGAAATTGTTTTGTTAGAAATTTGTTGGGGAAAACACAATTCCGTACTCTTCACTTGACGATTCTTCCTCGTATTGACTTTCACTATCTTCACTTGAGCTATCGCTACTACTGCCAGACGAATCGGAGCTATCTGAACTGTTATTGCTACTAGCACCCCGTGAACTCTCCGACTCCCACAAAAACATGTCTTTACCCTTTTTGTCCTAAAAAAATTATCAGAAATTTGACCAGTGGTTCGAGTGATAATTACCGATTTTTTGTACGATTTAGGGTCTTCAATAACGATTGGTTCGACGTTTCTAACATCACTTGGAGGCGGCTGTTCCGGAAACGGTGGTAGTGGCTCATAACCGGTCGCTCTTTGTTTGATATAATGCGATAATGAACCCAATTGTAAGTCTTCATGGTCTACAAAACCGGTCAAAGCAACATTAAAAATATTTCTAACACGTACCTTTGAATTGTGACTGAAGTAAGGGTGCAGGTTTGCTTGCCAGAAATATCCTAGCAGATTGAGATGTTATTCGACCATTTTGTTGCGGTATAAATTGTTTAAGAAGTCTTGCTTTATCTCTTATGTCGTAATTTTGATCATACCGGGCCAAATTAAAAATATATTGACACAATAATGCAGTTTGTTCGGAGTTTGTTATGTACAGTTTTACAGCCAAGTTCATTACTTGTAATTTCACAATGTCGTGCTATCAATGTAAAAATTATTTATTTTCTAAATGGCCAAAAACCGACTTACTTCATCAGAGAAGGTTTTAGCTAATTTCCTAAGAATGTCAGGCGCAATGTTTGGGACTTTTTGCGAATGTTCGCCAAGTAACCACAGAATTGCAGCTCTAGCCTGAGCTACTGTTATGTTATCAAGAAGTCGTGCCATATGGGTGATGATTTCCTTGGGGTCAGCAGCTTGCGTTTGTAGCAGTCTTTTGATAACAACCACGCTTTCAGCAACAACGGCTTCTATAAACGACAGCTATATTTTAAAGCATAATCATTGAAGGGCTTCTCACAAAACAACACTTGCCAAATAGGCATATACAAAAAATGGCAACATGGCAACCGAATGGTAGCCCAAAAATTATCCAAAGTTTTCCACAAAATTAGATATTGATAACTGCCATGAATAATAATAGGAATGTTTAAGAGATTGCGATGGCAAATCAACTTCGCGAGCCAGCTGCTCGCTGAACGTGCTTTAAAAAATCCACTCTGTGGTCATAAATCTTATACAGAGTGAGTCATTAGCATTACTGTACCGAAAGTACCGAGAGGCCGTTGACTCTGGAATTAGTAGTACAATTTTTAGGAATTTAATCGAAATTGCTTGGAATTATTTGTGGAATTTTTCTGGAATTACTGGATTATTTATTTTTTAAATTACTGATAAAATTCTTGATGGAATTATCAGAGATAATTTCTTTTATTTATAGAAGTATCGGAAGTATTTTGGAATTAAAGAAAATATTTTACACATTTTTTTCCAGTTAGCGGCTCCTCAAATAATATCTAGATAGTATGTAACCATGAGATACATATTTTTAATCAAAATTAACTCGTAAGTAAAAAAACGTAAAAAAATTAAAAACAAAAATATTTCAACGTGAAAACGTAAGCATAAGCATACAGAATGCGCCAGAACTCGCGCCCCAGAGAAAAATGTCATATAAGGTATGAACATGGAATAGGAACATGGGAATAATGTTAAAAAAATTCTATCTATAAAAATTTCGAAGTTATGGTAGTTTAAATTTTGCACTTTGACTATATTAATTTGTGTTGTAAAAATAATTTTCCAAGTTTTTTTGCTACAGGCTATTAGAAGAGAAAACTGTATCCTAAATTGTAACTCTGTTTAATGTTATTTGTGGTGGTTTTTATTGGCAAAATTTTTGTACCTTTACTATACAGGATGTCCCACGAGTAATAATGAGCCTAAAAATTTTTTTGAAGCAACCAACATTACATTTCAAAGATAACGTGGATATTAAAATATTTGGTTTTAATAAATTAAACATAGGGACCAAAGAGCACTTCAACTTTAATTTATAAAAAGTCAAACCTTGGAGAATTTGGTAAGAATTACTAAAATGTTGACGAAAAGACCAACAAGATTCTCATTTATAGAAAATATTTGAAAAACGCTTCGCAGACTGCACGTTTTTATCCAGCGCGATATCCAAATAGACGGGTTCCCTAAAACTGGAGTAAAGTCATTTTCACTGACCGAAATTTGTCAAAAATAAAAATACGATTACTATGTTTAATTAATTAAAACGAAATATTTTAATATCTACATTATCTTTGAAATGTAATGTTGGTTGCTTCAAAAAATTTTCAGGCTCATTATTACTCGTGGGACACCCTGTATAATTATAAAAAAACATATATAAGAACATCAACAGACAAAAAAATGTCAAATGTCAAAAAATAAGTGTCAAAATTTTTTGACAGAATTTTTTTAAACATTTTCCATCTTCTTGGTATCTTATCTTACTTGAAATTTTTCTCTGGGGTGCGAGTTCTGACACCCTGTATGGAAAAATAAAAAATGGAGTGCAAAAATGTAACATATTAGGTAACAGTATCAAAGTAGACAAAGTAAGTATAGTTTTTATTTCGCATATAGTGGTGATCAAAAAAATGACGGATAACCTCGATGATGCATTCTTGGAAAAGATTTGGAGAGTCCGTAAAACATGTTAAAAAAAATCTCCTGTCTTATTTTTTTGAGCTATGTTGAATTATGAATTTTATTAAGCTGGCAACGTTGTAATGTAGCAGCAAAAATAATGGAAATTGCGAACAATTAAGGTTATTTCTGTTTCCCAAGAAACCAAAACAAAATGACATTATTTATTTATTTACTATTTATACAATGTTGTCAGATATAATTTTAGGTAAATTACACCTAACTTTTTTTTAATAAAAAATTACTTGTGCAAGTCCTACACAAATAAGCTTAATAGTTTATAATCTTCGGTATACAGAATTTTTTAATTATTTTTAAAAAAAATTATCATAAGAAACCAACGAGGGTATCCGTCATTTTTTGATCAGCGTGTATACTCAAATGATTAAAAAACTCGAACTCTGCTCGTTTTATAAACTTTATCTTTGTGAATAATAATAGAATAATAATACATCTTTTTATTTTATAATAAAAGTTTTCAATTTTGCATTTGACTAACACCATTTTAAAATATGTGACAAGTTCCATTATTCCAGGACTGGATTCAATGTTTGAGATTATAAACGTAAAGATGTAGAAATATCTAATTTAAAATTAGAAGAAATATTTTGGATTACAAGAATTAATTTGTAACTATAGGAATTAATCTAAAAGCAATGGAAATACGATGGATTATCAAAATCTGTGATTACTGGAATTCTTTTCGGAGATAATTTCTTTTGAGAATTACGTTAAATTTTTAGAACTATCAGTATTAATTTGGAATTACAGGAATTATTTTGGAATTACGAAAATTGGGTTGGAATTACGCATATTATGTTGGAATTACAATGAAATTTCGATGGATTATTAGAATTACTGAAATTGCGGTGAATTTTTTTGGGTTACTGATTTTTTTTTTGGAATTGGAATTAGTTGTAGTTTTCTAACGGACCCTTGAAACGTATAAATGTCATTGGTTTGATTTTTTAAAATAAGCAAGCTGTAAAAACGCAGGTTAGATTCTATGAGAATGAAAATTTTGGTTATCATTTTGACGTGAGTAAAAATTTTGTTTTTTCCTTTTATTTTTCAAAAATTTAGACTGTTAGATTTTTACCACATACAGAATGTCCGGAAAGTCGCGCATCTCCGTGAAACTGTATCATCGGGCAATGCCCTAGACAACAAGCAAGATATTAAAAAAATTATATCTATAAAAATTTCCAAGTTATGAGAGTTTAAATTTTGTACTTTGACTCTATTTATTTCTGTTGAAAGAATATTTTTTTTTGTTACAGGCTATTAGAAGAAGAAACAAGAAAGCTGTATCCTAAATTGTAACTCAGTTTAATGTTATTTGTGGCTTTTATTGGCAAAGTTTTTGTACCTTTACTAAATAATTATAAAAAAATATGCAAGATAGATAATCAGTATCATTAATTAATTAAATATACATAAAAAAGTCGAATGTCAAAAAAAATGTCAAAATTTTTTGACAGATAGAAGTTTTTAAAAAAATTTCCAGTACTCTGGGGTACTACCTAATTACTCCCTTTCAAGGAGGTGCGCGACTTTCCTGTATTTATCATGCTTTTGCCTGTATTTTTATAATGAAATATGTAGAGTCCACTCTGCCAGGACCGTATTCAATGTTTTTTTTTTATCAAAGTGCATTTTTGACTAGTGTTGTTTTTGAGAATGAAACCTTCGTTTTGCACTAACCGTCTCTATTGGAGAGTAGGGAGACAAGTCCGCTGAGGCAAGAGTCCGTGACTTCATTGATAGAACAGGCACACCTCCCAATGGCTTGAATCGTGGCCGCCACAAACTTCTTATCGCTGTTGGAAATATAAGTTTGCAGCTCCCTCAAGATAATCGAAACGTTGGAATCGGTTGTAAGATTCGTCAGAATCTCAAGTTTCAGTAACTTAATATTGGTTGGATCCGAGGTGCGAACGAAAAAGCTTTTCAAATACGCCTCAAACATGCCCTTGTTTTGGGCACTGATCGACGCGATGGCGTTTAGAACGACGCTCTGCACCTCGACATGAGACCGCAACAGCCGCACCATTGCTTTCGCCGCTAAAGGGCTCTCGCTTTTGGGGGCTGCGTGATGGTACAGCTGGGCGACGGCCATGACAACGGCGGCGTTTCGCGATTGCAAAAGGGGCCGTGTTGACCGGAGCAACAAGCGGTGGTCGGGGTCTAACGTCGGGGCGGGCTTTTCCGAGGAGTCAGAACCTGAATCGTAAAATGGACGGTCGGAGTCGTCGCCATGGTTGTGGAGGTTGGGGTCGGCGAATTGCATGCGGGCGTAGCGCGTTAACATGTTCACGATTGTTACTTGACCCCATTCGTCCACGTCTACTAACAAGGCACAAAGTTTTCGGTAGACTTGGTGGATTAAGTCCACGCGTTCGGGGCACACTTCAGTGAAGGCCATTACGGCGGAACCTATCACTAGAACGGTTTTGTCAGCTAGGAGTTTCTGGATTATCGTTACTAGTTCCAATTTTAGCTCGTTTTCTAAGCTAGAATTAAATGTTATTGGTGCGACACTAGCGTCACTTTTTTAATTACCTATAGAGTTTTGGTATAGCATGAGCTGCGGTTTTTCTCACATAAGGTGACATATCAGACGAGGCATCCCTTATGGCCAACATCACAATCGGTGAAATCATTTTAACTCTAATACTTGATAAGACTCTCAAAGCACCCGCTCTTATCAACTGATTTGGTTCCTTAAAACCACGTTTACATTAACAGAAAAAACTATCAAAATTCTTACTTTTAAAGCTCTTTGAAACGTAGAAATAGACAATAAAGCTAAATCTTGCTGCTCTTCAGCATATCTCTCCAAATAAACATACACCAATTTCTTAACTTCAATGTTCTTTGAAACAACATTTTTGACAACAGCTGGGAATAACATAGACGCGTCTCTACCCTTAGCAACCATCTACAAACCTTAAATGAGTTTAAACTTGACACAAAAAAACTTGTACCCCAATAATGCGTTTCATAGCCTCCAACTTAAGACTGTCTTTATTTGAATCCAACATTTCTTTAAGGTCGTCGTGTCTAGAACTTAACAATGTATACAGATTCGGGTGACAAACAAACACTTACTTCTTGAAATCAGTGTGAAAGAAGCCTCCGGAGGCCGGATCAACGACATATTCAGCCTCCAAACCAGCCCCCCTGTCATTTGAGTATGAACCATTGTTGGAAACATGTGAAGATGACGTCAACATAATAAAAATTCAAACTTTATTTCACCGAACGACCTTAATAACACCATTAATATGAATTAAAGCATGAACACGGCCTAAAATGACACGTCCATTTACACGAAACGTCCGATTTGTAGGTTAACACTCAAGGGTGCCAACGTTACATTTAAATCGCCCACATTTTTTACCACTACAGTTTAAAAAATTAACCAAAAGATTTTTGTAAATTGAATGCTATCAAGCATGTTAAGTGTTTGTTGATGAATGTGTTTAAATTTAATTTTGCAAAATAGAAATTTGTGAGGTTGGTAGTGCTGTCGTTAAAAATTTTGAAAGTGACAGAGTTTGGTTTGGAATTTGGGGCTTTTTTAATTTTAAGATACTTATCAGTGTGCCGGATTAGGTGAGTTTTTCCAGGATTCTAATTACTTGTATTTTTAATGATACAAATTAAAGAAATTTGACACATCACTGGTTGGTAGTACTGTCGTTGAAAATTTTGAAAGTGACAGAAGTTTGGTTTGGAATTTGGGCCCCTTTTCATTTTAAAACACTTATCACTGTGCTGGATTAGGTGAGTTTTTACAGTATTCTAATTATTTGTATTTTTAATGATACAAATTAAAGAAATTTGACACATCACTGGTTGGTAGTACTGTCGTTGAAAATTTTGAAAGTGACAGAAGTTTGGTTTAGAATTTGGGGCCCTTTGAATTTTAAAACACTTATCACTGTGCCGGATTAGGTGAGTTTTTACAGAATTCTAATAACTTGTGTTTTTATATGTACATGCATTAATTATACAAAATAAATCAAGAAATTTGACAAATTTTGATGTAAAAAGGGCCAAAATAATGAGACACATTATAACTCAGTTTTAGCAATTTGCACAAATTTCATTCATTACCTAAACTGATTTATTGTTGCTTGGTAGTTTTTTGTATTAGTTTAGTTTATGATTATTATATGCCATTTTTGATAAGTCTCACTCGGTATTGCTTAAAATTAATTAACAATTTCGCAAATGCGTCTTGAATTTTTAAAGACTGTTCCATGTTTAAAGGTTTGAATTCTGCGCAATGACAGATGCAAATGAGGGTGATCCCAGTGATACAGTTTTTGTCATAAAGCAATGTCGTAACCGGCCCATAAATGTAAAAAATTGGTGTATTATCACCAGCAATTAGTTAGTCAGTTGTGAAAAAAAATGTAATACAAAAAGTAACATTGCTAGTTTGTCCTTTCAACAGTCTCCGTAGAATGTCATGACCTAACCAACAAATTTTATGTTGGCTGATTTCCTTGCAAATAGTTATTTATTAAAATTTCTTGCGTCTGTGATAGGAAATAGTGAGGGCTTAAAGCGAAAATGTCGTGCAAACAGCGCAAAATTGCAGTGATGGGATACAGATCCGTTGGTGAGTAATTTTTGTAAAGGTCAAAGGGGGTCTCGATGGGGCTTTTTAGGTAAGTCTTCCTTGAGCATTCAGTTCGTCGATGGACAATTCGTAGATTCGTATGATCCAACGATTGAAAATAGTGAGTACAAAGTTAATTGTACTAATCGTGATAAAAAAACAATAATTTTAGCATTCACAAAAACTGTAAGAATTAATTCACAAGATTATGAGTTGACGTTGGTCGACACGGCCGGACAGGATGAATTGACGCTCTTCCCTTCACAATACAGCATAGATGTTCATGGATATGTGCTTGTTTATAGCATAACTGATATAAGGTCGTTTGAAGTTGTTGGGACAATTTTTCATAAACTTCAAGACCTTAACGGAAAAATTCAGTGAGTTTTGATCCACTTTTGTTCGATAATTAAGCGGAAAACGGTTTTTGCAGAGTACCAGTTGTTTTGGTAGGAAACAAGACAGATTTACATATGGAAAGAATGATTTCTTATGAAGAAGGAAAGAAATTGGCCGAAGACTGGAATGCAATTTTTTTAGAAACGTCAGCAAAACAAACTGCTGTAAGTATAATTTAATTGAAAAGTCAGTTATTACAACAGAGGTTCCAGTCTGCTTCTGAAATTTTTCACATGTTGTTGCTGGAAATGGAGAAGATTGATGGAATTCTGGGTGATAGACCCAACTGTATTGTGTCGTAAATCATATTTGGGTTTCACTTTTAGTTACACTCAAATTCACCTCTTCTTGTATGCAACAAAGCATTTCATTTGCTTTCTCAGTTTAGCTTTGCGCCAATCTATCCTTCTTAGTGATACTATTAAGTGATAGCAAAATTTTTGAATTTGTTGTGATTTGTTTCAAGTGTTGTTTAAAAATATATATTACTGATATTAAAAGTACAAATTAATTGTCAGTTTTACCTTGATTGTAAATTTATTCAGACTCTTAAGTTTTTTATGCAATCTATATTTTAGATTATATTTGTTCCTGTACTTGTGTAATGTTTTTAAGAGCTGTCTAGTTGTATAAAAAACTTATGTTAGAAAATGAAAATTTTAACAATTGTTAAAAATCAGTTTTTGCAATCAAGGATCATACTTTACTGACAGTTTTGTATCAAAGATTATTATACTCTTAGATTCTATGTAGTCATATGTATATTTATTATAACTATTTTTTGTTACTACAAAATACAAGCTATATCATTTGAAGAATTAAACATAATATATTTTGTTAACTTTTATTGCGTCTTTATTTTCCTAAAAGAGAAACAAAAATCTGAGTTTTCTCTTTATTGTCGCGTCATATATACAAAAATATAAATAAAAAGCAGGAAAGTATAAATAAATTAAAAATAACTTAAATAAATAATTGTTTAAACCGTCCACCCCAAAGTTAGTAGTGTATTAACCCATCTAGCCATGTTTAAAAAAATTACACAAACGGAACCATATTTTGAAAATGTTTCTTTCAAAATAGGGTTCTAAGTAAAGAGTAGTCGTCAATTTTAATGCTATCGGATTAAAATTCCGACTACTGCTGTTTTAAACATGGCGAATAAGACTAAAATTAATTCGCATTATTTAAGAGTCTTTAGCTAAGAACACAACAAACACTAAGATCTACAATAAATGTAAGAAAATCTCGGGGAAAATTGCTAGATCACAATTATGCTATTTATTAATCCCACAATGCTGTTTTTGCTAATTCTTCTGCTTTATCCCACGGGAACGGAGGAGTTTCAACTGACCGGGAGGACCTTAAAGGTCGTCCACGACGTTTGCCGTCAACGCACATCATGCCGTAGACTCTGATACCAGGGACGCTGGCATAAGTCGGCTGGTCATGCGACATCGGTCCCTCTGCAAACCCCAAAAATAGAAATTCATTCACAAATGAGCTAAACTTACCCAATATACTAACTTCAGGACATCTACAAATGACAAGATAGTGCGATTTCCCGGTTCGGATGTTCTGGAGGGCTAAGAGTGACCAATCTCGGGGCGAGCGACATATTCGCATATCCGAGGTTGGTTCGCAAGTCTTCACTAAAGTCAATGCACGCTGGAAAAAATTAGTTATATATTAGGCGATTGGTTGCAAATGTCATTTCACGCGAGCGTGGACTTAAGCGATACAATACAGCATTCCGTTCAAGAAATCGTGCACGCTCATTTTTACAAACATGAACTATTGTGTGCCTTGTTGATTCGCTTATTTTTTATTAGACTTTTGTAGAGGTCACCTTAAAATCGAGTTAAAAAGCTTCTTTGTTCGAATGAATCAAAGTGAACGGAAGTAATCCATGATTTGCGCTCGTTAGAATCAACCGATATAGTTTGTCTTCAGATTACATCTCTGATCCTGCAGTTAAGAAGGAGCTGTAATTTTACACAGTTCATTGAATATAATTGCAACCAGAGATTTCACGATTGTATCAACGTGGATCTTTGAACGAATAGTAAACTCTAGCGCCTTCATAGTTCAGCGTAATTAACCTTGCCACCTAATTAACAGCTTATTTATGTCGGACACTAAATCCAGAACGAGAATTTCACGACAACTACTAATTGACATTGATAAATTTTTCCAAACAACCTCACAAATTTACTACTTCAGGTGGTAGTTTACGTCCGAGTCGTAGATAGAGCTTTCATTTTATTTAGATCGAAGAATTTTTTTTTTGGAAAAAGAGTTCTTATTCATGTTGAAGTGAAAACTGAAAATAAATTTCCGCTGACATAACATGTGAGTAAGAGGTGTGGTAATTCCGGCCGACAAAAAAGCTGTAGGTGTGAGTTTCCATGTCGCGGATTTTTAATTATTCTACAGGGTGTCAAAACTCGCGCCCCAGAGAAAAATTTCAAGTAAGATAAGATACCAGGACCATGAAAAAAATGTTTAAAAAATTCTGTCAAAAAAATTTGACATTTATATTTTTTGACACTTGATGTTTTTTTATTACTAATGATCTTGTATATGTTTTTTTTTATAATTATTTAGTAAAGGTACAAAAACTTTGCCAATAAAAGCCACAAATAACATTAAACAGAGTTACAATTTAGGATACAGCTTCTCTTCTAATAAAAAAAAAACTTGGAAAATTATTTTTCCAACAGAAATAAATAGAATAAAAGTGCAAAATTTAAACTCTCATTACTTCGAAATTTTTATAGAAAGAATTTTGTTAAAATATTTTCCATGTTCCTGGTACAGGGCGCGAGTTCTGGTGTATCCTGTAATAATGATTATTTATGTTTCATTTGGCTTCGTCAAAATTGGTACTGGTTTTATACAAATAATAAAAATATTTGATTTGATTTGATTTTCTTTTTGTTTCGAAATTCAAAAGTTTTAGATTTTTCGTAAAAAATAAAATTTGCTGAAACATCTTTCCCTGTTCCTGAACATACATACACATTTTAATTAAATAAGTGTTTTACTCGTAAAGTTGATAAACGATTTACCTAATTCTACCTTTTAACGTTATGCAAAAATGTAAATTAATTTACTCCTGGTGTGTAAATTTACATAAGCAGGAGCACGACTTGTGATGGGATGATTTGTATGTAATCAAGTGTTTTTTCGTACTTTATTTAGTGTTATTTACATTTTATTCATGTTTTTATTTCTGAATTCCACATTCTATTAAACTTCAAACTATCAAGTAAAGAATCATACTTAAAAAGAGTTTTAATATTTCAATTACACTTCAACATTGTAACAGATATTTAGTTTTAAAACTTTACGTATGGATGAAAATGAAGAAAAAACAATGTTTTTGTAGGTATAACTCATAAGTAGAAAGTTACAGCATCTAAACACAAATACTACTCTGTAAAAAAAGTATCGGGAATATTCGATTTAAAGAGTTCACGTAGAAGATATCTTAATAATTCTTGTCTGGTATATTGCTACAATCATACTCTCTTACCAAGCCAAATTTTACCTCTGTAGGTCAATTGGTTTATTTAAAAATGTTTTTACCATAACTTGTGATTAAGTCAAACTTGCGATTTTTCTTTATGGATTCCACAACCGACCAGAAATTTTGTGTTGCCAACGAAAATTCGTGTAGTGAAAAAGCCTTTGGGGACTCATGTTTGTCAAAAACACAAGTATTTGGTACAAAACATTTAATTGGGCCGGAAAGAGTTCACCGATTTTCCTCGTTCTGGAAGATCGTCAACAGCAAAGACGGTGAAAAATGTAAAGAAAATCAAAGAAATGCTGACTGCAAATCGTCACTTAAGTTTAAGAGTAACATTATTTAGCCGTTGAGAAATGTTTGTAAAAAGTAGTATTTGCTGGAAAAGGCCAGATTTGTGAAAAGACAACTTTGGGATTTCGCACCATGACAGTGCGCCTGCACACACAGCGACAATTCTGCACAAATTTTTGGCTAAAAACGCAACAAATGCAAGGAAGGCGTTTTAAATTCATAAAAGACAAAAAAAAATCGCAGAAAAAACTGAAAGCCATATCTTCCGCTGTTTATGAGAAGTGTTTTGATGATTGACTTAAACATTGGCATATGTGTGTCGCTTCAGATCGAGTTTAGTTATTTGAAGGAAATGAAATAAAAATTGATAAATAATAATAATGACGTAGTACTATTTTATTTAAATTTTCCCGGTACTTTTTGTACAGAATGTACAAAGGTGGCAATTATACGTACTTGAGTCTTTTTCAGTCGCAAAAATGGTTTTAACAATATTTTAGACCTTTTCCATTAGAAAAAAAGATGTTGAGCAAATGTATCTAATTAGTTCTGCATTTAAAAATATCACCAAAAAAAAACTTCCAAAACCACCTTAGTCAAAAAACTTTCATTTGTGCATCTTGCAATTTTCGAAATTTAGAAAGAATGAAACGTTGTTTTACGTTGTTTTATAAATCGGTGAGTCGTGCAACTCACCCTAGACTTCCTGTCAATCATCAGTTCAGTCGTGTGTTGATCATCGGAATTGAGCGATGCCGAGCAGGGATCACGATACCTCGAAGGACAAGCACAAAGAGGCTGCGTCCAGTTCAATCTAACATAAACGGCGTTACACACCTGCAAAAATGCACAATTTTTTCATCACTTCGATTTTGACGAGACAATGATTTGTAAAAGTCATGGCAGCGTTTATACGCATGGTTACCTCTTTTTTACCCAGAAAATCGAAATATTCTTAAATGAGAGAAACAGGTCATACTCACTTGTTGAATAGCGCATTCTGGAAGGAGATATATGTGTTGATTGTGTGGATAGTAATGGTATTTCGTCGGTTTGACTAGAGCTGCACTGGCTCCAGCAGGCAAGGGTAACAGATTCTGGAAAAAAGCACAATAATTATGAAAGGAATTGTTGAGTCATCTCCAATGGCAAAAAGTTCGCTTTCTGATACTCTTGGGTTCCAGGAAATCAAGCAGGGTAAATAATTAGAAAGCAGGTTATTATCGCGACTAAAATAGAATGAATTCTAAGGGTCAGATTGACCCCACTTGTGACGACTATAAATTAATATAACATTACATTTCCGATATTATTACAACTTGTAACTTCCTTTTCACATTTACTGAAAATATGACAAGATTAACGACCTAATCTTTCCGTTTTGTGATGTGATAATTTAAATTTTTTTCGTTTTCACTGTCGGTAGTTTAAAATGAATTTCCGCCTTATCGGATACTGGTTGTTATATAAATTGCCAACTTCCAATAATTACCGGTGATCAAGACTTTTGTGTTTAGGGAAAGTGATTGCAAAATTAATCCGATTTCGTTTTCATAAAAAGAATTTGTTAAATATTTGTAGAAACATTATTTGTTTCTTGAGAGAAAACAAACATAGAATTTATGCTAGTAGGTTATGTGTGCCCGTTCGGAAATGGCAAAATATAAATACTTAAGCTTCATCAATAAATATAAAGGATGTCATCTGGAGTGCCATGCTAATGTGAAGGATCATAGAAGTTTTTCCGAGAAAAAACGCGGAATTCCTGATTTATGGCACAGCCGTGAAGCAAAGTGCGAATTATTTGTCATTAGCTCTCCTGATAAATAATGACCTTACATGGAATCGATTTGTTAAAGAGTTCCATATTTCTTCTCGTACCAATAATTCTTCCGATTGTCATCTGATTTGCTTTCACCTGTTCTTAAGCAAACCACAACAAGTCACGACACTGCTTCATACACTATTCATGTCCCTCTTTACTTCTCAAAAAGCACACAAGTGCTAATATTACTGAACCTCGTCTTGCAAATTCCTAAACTTTTAACAAGCGTAACCAATGAAATGATTGGAATTTTAGAAAAAGTCTAATCCAATTATGGTCACAAATATGCACCCAAAAAAATAATTGATGCCTAAACGGCGAATTCACAAAAGTTAACAGTAAATTTAAATAGAATTGAAATGACCGTGGAAAAATTGAATGTTGAAGTTTTAATTAACGGTAAAGGTATGTCTATAATTTTGTTTGGTTTTTGGACTAGACAAAAAATTGACATATATGTTAAATTTGTTTCCGCACTAGTTACGACAGGTACAATGGGTGCAGTAATTTGTAGCACGAGACAACGCTGAAAAAAGCATGAGTTGCTTGCTAGGACAAATAAAGCAGCAATGATCTGTGCAATTACTTGTCCGGCGTATAAGGAATATGAATATATTGTTGCATTATAAAGAAAATCACGATTTCTTCTCTAATTATAAGTCATTCTAACTTTCTACCGATCGAAAAAAATGGCCTAATTCCCAAGATTGCATTTGCTTGGAATAATCCGCCTACACATTTCAGTGCTTGAACAGAATGTCATCTTAATAAGTTTGCCGGTAGTGCGTGTAACAGTAAAATACAGTTAATATTCTTTCGTTTCCTAAGCCGGTCTAAAGACAAAACTTCCAGCAAGGTATTATAAAACTGATCATTTTTATCAGATCGGTTCTGGTCTTGTTAACATAGATGCATCGTTACTAAAAGCTCGGGGCTAGTTGAGATAATGTGATGCAAAAAGGCTAAAATTATAGACACGGTCGGTTAAAAATTCAAGATGTGTTTATTTAATTTGTTGAAGGACAATGAATAATGCGGAAACAGCGTTTACGAGAAAGCTCGCTCGCGCTATCATAATAATTAGCAGAGCTTTAGTAAGCACACGTGTCAAAGCAATATATTTGCCGGTGAGAAAAGTTTTATCCAATTTGATTTATTGTCCACGATGTAGGATATATCGAAATCGGTACCTTTGGATGTTCTTGACCTAGGACAAAGTAGCGCATGCGTGCTGCTTTAACGTCAAGGACAATACAGTCACGATGGTACAAGTTAAGTGTAATTATATTTAAGGTGCAGAATTGCATCCTAATCTAGTTCGAAAACCAGTTGAGGTATACTGTTAAATAGAGGAAATTTATATTCTAGCGGATCTTTAATTCTACGAGGAAATTATTTCAAATGGATCTATTCCGTTTCATTTCAATAATTAGAGGCACTGAAAAGTATCGGGAAAAAAACTATTGTCACGAATTCCATTGTCAGAAATAATCGCGAAAACACGCCAATATTTATCACAATTATTGGAGATGCATCTGTTAGCAAATGTACGCAAAGCACATGTCTCCTATAACAAATAATTTAATTATGTTACCGTCTAATTAGTTAGCATACATGGTCTTCTTTTATCACTTACTTGAGAAATTATGGCAGCAAATACCATATGTTTGCTTCATTATCATGCATATGCACTTTTGCTAGTATAAAAAATCTACTAAGGCCGTTTTTCCCGATCTTGTTAACTATAACAACAATCATTCTGAACAGTTATAGTGCTTGCTGAATTCGGAATTGCGGTTTATGTAGGATAATCTGGGACAGGACTTAAGATAAGGATCATCAAATGCCAGTATTTTCAGTGTTAACAATAAATCTATTCTCTATATTTGAATAACTAAGATTAGTGTGGAGAGTACTTACAATCTGGGTTATACAAGTTCATGTATTTCACTGATGTCGATGTTAAACGGTTAACTATTAACATGTTGGCAAGGTAAAGGATCACTGGGCTAAGCGAGTAAACGGTAGTTGTTAATTGCATCCAATCTTCTCGATTGTAAATACATATTGTAACATTCATTTGCGGTTTTTCGAAAAAATTTGCTTCACACCTTCGTGTAAAACATTTCCAATTATAGCAATTTTAAGACGTACTTTCCTTTTTAAAATCCAACAGGATAACCAGTTTTTTACTTTCATCAAATGGAACTTCGAACGTATTCATTAACGTAATGATGCTGATTTTTAGTAACAAACCGAAACGAAAGCTTTGTCGGAATCTGCCGCCACAATCTCACTCTAATAACTCAGAAAATTTATTTTTTATCGAGAAGATGAATATTTTTCCGGGAGTTAAGTGTTTAATAGAGAATTTAATACAACATGACGACGATAGATTATATCGCGTGGAAAGTTACATACACAACGTGCAATTATTTCATGAATTTTTATTTAAGTGACAAATTTTTGCGTAATGTTGTCGTAAACTGTTAGAATAATTAATATAGTAATGTGTGTGATGAGGAATTGATTCATCGTGAGAAAGGAAAATGAAAAAAGTAAAAGTCCCAACACGTTTCCTCGCCATTAGAAGCGCAACACTAACGGACAATCTTAGAGCTTTGAAGTTCAAATCACAATAACAATTGTAAGACTATTATACCCCGTGAAGATGTACGAAGCCACCAAGATTGAAGGAGATTGATGTCTATAAGTGCGCTTTACAGCTTGCATTTTTAAAATCAACTAAAGTCGCTAAAATAAACTTAATTAACCGTCATCCGTGCGTGATACAGTATTTTCTGCAAAATGATTGATTAAAATGAAATAATTAGAACGTTATTAGTTACAGTGTTGCTATAAATTGATGCAGTAATGTTCCAATCCTATTACCATTTAACTTTCTGTCTGAATTGGTTTATTATTGCTTTTAAATTGACTTATTAAATAACGAATTTACGCTCAGCTATTACCTAGAACTTTATTAGTTTCAAAATTGAAAAAAGTAACATCCTTTAATCATTTCCGGGCGACTGAATATTTACAAAATTCTTGAAAGTATAACACGATTTTTCTGGAGAAAAAAATGAAATTGCTCTTTTTGCAAAACTCGCTTTGCAGATGGTGAAGCTCATTTATGTTTTTTCCAAAAATTATATACTATCATCTTAAAGCTGGTTATTGTATCCAGCAAAAAATAAATCAACTTTGTGTCTTAGATCAGGAAAGGGAAAAAATCGAACAGTCCTAAGGACGTGTTGATATTCATTGCGTTAAATTATTCTCTTCCTTTTATAAATGAGACAGCCAGGAAATTTTCTGCAGTAACAAAATAAATCTTGGTGTTAGGAAGTGTTTTAATAAGTAGAGTTTATGTGACAAATATAATTTATTACAGCGAAGGTCTGAATACGTTACTCTTGCAATTAATTCCGAACTGACTTTTCTTACGCTGAAAACACGTTTCAGTTGAATAAACTAAATTGTCAGTATGTTACTTCAGATCGTGAGGATTTTATACATAACTAAGTGCTTAGTATAAATCAACAATGACTTTTCAAGTAAAATAATGCAGCTACTCCCGAACTTAACTTAAGAACCGTTCATCACGCCAAATGACGCTTAAATAGCTTCAACAATAGACCACATACAGCGAGCATGATTATCACTAAATAATTGCTCGTGCAAGAAAGCGCAATTTACTTCAAAAATTCACAACGGTATCTATTCAATCAGAATAAAATTTCTACATATCTATCAACAATGGCAAAAGCGCTCACTTTTACTCAAATATCTTGCGGAACTCGAAGATGACAAGCTAGAAAAGTGCGCGAGTAACGGCGAGCTTGGTGTTTTACATAAAAATTTGATGCAATTTAGAGTACAGTTAGTAAATTTAAAGTTTGATGAGTCACTGCGATTATTGAATTTTGTCACGTTTTGGCACATATCGTTGCTAACTGTTGACAAGTTGGGATTTTGTGAGAAGTGCAGAACGCCTCGAGGTGTCTGTAGTGCAGACTAACAGTTTGATAAATTTGCACACAGAAAATAACTGTCACTTTTACGAGTGTAGCTTGTCTGAACTGTAATTTATGCAAAATGATAGTAATTGGCTGAATTCACCAGCTTTAGAACAGTCGGATTCTTCAGTTGTAGCGTAGGTATGTACAACAACAATGAACTGAAAATAAAATCCTCTATCTTACTTTCGATCATAACTGTCATTCCACGAACTTGTTTTTGTGACAAAGGTCAGAATTTTCTGCTTCA